TTAGACCATCATAAATGTTAAAAAGGCTTTGTTTAAAGAAAGAATTCTGGTGTGCTTTACTCTTAACCAGAACCATCTGGAAGCAATCTTGCATTCACACGATGGAGTCTCGTCCTCTTTGGCCCTCACTATCTCTACAAATCCCATCAGTGCAGGAACAGCTGCTGGGGAATCTGGCCCGATGCCAGAGGTGAAGCTACAGCCTCCTCCCGCATCAACGTCCTCCTGGGCCCCCAGCATGCTTGTCACCCCGCAGAGCATGAAGAACATGGTCACAGGAGCAGGGACCTGGTGCCACAGAGCCAGCTGTGAGAAACTGCTGTTTCAACTTGGTAACAGATGCTGGCTAGCCATCTACGGCCTGAGACGGCTCAGAGGGCTGTGGGCTGGACACTCAGCTCATAGCGCCAGTGTGTGAGCATCATGCAAAACCAGCTCGACCCCAAGGGGCACCGGCTGGCCCTGAGCACAAGGCCGGGGTTCTAGCACCAGGACCAGTGACACCAGGCGAGAAAGTGAGAGCTGGGGCACGTCAGAGACCAACTCAGCACTGGAGGATGCCAGTAGAAAACCCCTTTGTCGATCAAACCACTGTGTGAGCTATCTGAGGAAAGGGAGAAAGGGCGGTGGGGGACCAGGGAAGAGATGGATTTCATTAGCAAAGTCCTGGTGACAATAACCTTTTGTCTGCTACACAATCTGGGCCTGCCAAGCTGCTCCCCAGTCTCCGAGAAAGCATGAGGGCAGGACAGAAAGGATCCCCATCAGGAGGCAGCAGACGCATCCCTAATGCTGAGACAGGCTTCCCGGCACTGACATTCTCTCCCACGCTTCCTCCCGGCAGCAGACGCACCGCAGAAGGCTGGCAGGACGCTCCTCTGAGGAGAGGAGTCAATTTTCCCAAGCAGAGGAGATTTCACTCTTTGGGGGACCTTCCCCACCGTCAGAACCCCCAAACCACACACAGACTTGTAGTGATGAGCGTGAAACACTAGGTTTAATGTGGCCCACAGTCCACAGGGTCAGATCAGGAACTAGAAAGCTTCCTACCTCAGAAGCCCCTGGAATGCTCTGTTCCACCCTCTTGTCCTCCAAAGGACAGGCCAAGGAGACACCAATCCTGGTAGGCGGCGGTCCCCGCTTACATTTCCGCTGCAGCTCAAAACTGAATAATTATGCCTCATCTTACGCTGAAGCAAAGTTGATGCATTGTATCAGAAAGAGTCCTGGACCGAGAATTAGAAACCTACGTTATTCTACCATGTGTGCATTAGTGGAAGCTGAGTAAGCCACCTAATCTCTCTGAGCCTCCATTTGCCCAACTGCAAAATGGGAGCAAGAAGAAAAAGCATGGGGCATTTGGCAGTCCACCGCCAAACAGTAAACGGTGGAGGCCCTGAAGTGACGCTGCCTGGGCTCACATCCTGGCTTCTCCGCTCACTGGCTGTGTAACCTTGAGCAGCTTAGTCCTTGTGCCTCGGCTTCCTCATCTGTAAAACAGAGGATTATTCAACATGAGGAACCATGTAAAGCTCTCATTGCAGGGTCTGGTCCTTAGCTCTCCCACTGACTGTCAGCCTGCCCACGACTCTCATGATTAGTGGAGGACAAGTGGGGAGATAAAAATTTTCACAACTAGGTCTTTGCTACAAGGGAGCAACAGCCTGGCAGCAGGTGCACCCTTATTTGTTAGAAAGGTTTCAGAGAAGCAGGTTCATGGGCCAAGGCTGATTCTGAAGCCAAGAAACATGAAGGAGGGAGGAGGTAAGGCCTAATCTGTCCCCTTGAGCATGACACACTCCAAATACTCACCAGTCCACCTTCAACCAATCCCAACACCTTGGTAGTAACTGAAGGCTTTTGTGGGAAAAGAGGCAGCAGATCCTTGTCTCTCTTTCCATTGAATTATTTTGCCAGCCCTTCTCTTCCTATAGACAACCCACAAAGGCAGCAAACTGGGAGCCCACGTTTCTTAAGTCCTAAAACATAGCTGCTAGATTTGAGGGGTTCTGGAGACTAAAAACATTTTAAAAAGAACTTATTACATTGGGGGGTCGGTGTGAGGGAGAGGGAGTTTACACAGGCAGTGGTCTCAAACGGTTTTAAGCTTCCCAACTTCTTCCAACGAAGATGGAAAGAGCCCTCCTTTTCTTAAGCATCATTTCCCAATCAAAAGTAACACCAGGTAGGAAATATCCAAAGATGTACATCAATCTCTGCTCGCAGCCAAAGTTGTGAGCCAACAGCCACGTAGGGAACTTTGCTGGAACAAATGAGCAAATCATGTCCAACTGAAGCCACTCTCAGTCTTGGCTCCTCAGTTATTAGCGACCTTCTGTGGAGTTCCGTGCAATTAAATACAGCCCACTTATGGACTGTTTACTTGTTAACCGTGCTAATGGAGCGTGTGTGTGTGTGCACAGTGCGCACGTGAGCAAGAAAGAGAGCAAAAGAGAATAACTGTGTGTGTGTAAAGTTGGATGTAATCTAATCCCTGAATTTATCTACATTTAAAAAAATGGTAAGACGTGGGTAATCTTTAGCCATTTGTTTACCAAGTTTGTTTTGATTGCTGAGATCTGATTTGCCTTCCTGGCACAGACAGGACAGACAAACATCCTTGCCGCAAACTCCACCGGGCTTGTGCATAATAAAGCTCCTCTTTCCGATGCTTCTCACGGACCATCCACAACGTCAGCCTGCCCGTCAGCAACTCCTGTCAATCACACTTTTCTTCCTTTCATCCACTAAACCACATCCTGTCGACTACCTGTCGGGCACAGGGTGAGGCACTGGGCTGCCCCTCAGGAGGCTTACAGACTAGCTGAAGAGACATTCTTTAAAAGATAATTGGACTAAGTGATGACTTAGCCCTGACTTTTATCCCGTGGCCTAAATGACCCGGTGTCCTGTTCATTTCCTTGCCTTCTCTGTTTTCTGCTTCCATCTCTCTGTCTGGCTCTAGAGACCTCACGTACGTATCTCTATGTCTGTTTTCCTCTGGGTACCTGAATCTCTTTTCTCTCCTAGTCCGTCTCCTTCAAACTACTGTGACAACAACCTCCCTAAAACATTGCTTTCATCATTTCATTCTCCTCAAAAACACACAAGAGTAACCGGTAGCCTCCCACAGAAAAATCTCAATTTCTCCACCCGGCTTCCTGTATTCTTAACTATGTTCCCTCGATACCAACTCAGCCTGATTTCTGAAAGCCTCTCCCCCTCTATCTGGCCATCTTCCTCACCGTCTCTTTGATCTGTTCTTTTTGTTTGTTTACAACCATGTGGGTTCCTAACCTGGAATGCCTTTCCTTCCATCTTGCCAAATTCCACCAAAACCAGACCAAACTCCACCATGGCTTTCTGAACTACACTAGTTGTCACTTGAAACTTTTCTTTAAGTGCTGGTTTTGCTGACTGAATAAAAGCGAATTTGCAAGAAAACCTAGTCAGGGGGCAGCAAAACTCCAGAGCCCAGAGCTGCAAATACGGCGAACCCTTTCCAATAATTACGATCACATTTCTGAGCAGGGGTACGTATTTTAGGCTTTGTGAGTCATACCATCTCTGCTACAGATACTCCACTGCCCTGCTGTAGTATGAAGGTAGCGACAGATCACACATAAACAAGTGAAGGTGATTGTATTTTTTTTCATCACCGCCGCCACCACCACCCAATGTAGCTGTATTTTTTAAAGTTATTTACAGAAAGGGGTGGTGGGTGGAATTTGGCTCTCAGGCCATAATTTGCTGGGCCTGTTCTATCCAAGAAGAGTGGATACTTGCCAGTATCCACTCTTCTCTTTCAGGTGGCAAAGTACAATCGGAAGTGTCTTAGATCAGCCTCCTACCTTTCCCGGAGAAACTCAACTGTTCCTTTAAGACAGTATGTACCCTGGGAGTAGATTCCAGCCTAAAAGTCATCACCATGGGAATCTGGGCTGTGACCATCTGTTATAGCTATTTTGGTCAATGAAGTAGAGATAACGGAATCTACTGCTCCGCCTGCGCTGGGGATACGGCAAGGAAAGAGGCCACTGTCTCATTCATCTGTCCCCAGACTGGCAGGAGGCCCCTGGTCAGCATCACAGAGCCTAAGAGCAGATCGTCACTTACCCTTCTTTGCGCCAGGCACGGCTCTCTCACTGCATCCCTACCCCAGCCCTATGAGGTAGAAGTGCTGTGCTTTTCAGTTGGGAGAAATAGATGAGGTCTTATCAGTGCTACTGCTGGTCCACAGAAGTGGTTTTGTGTCTTACACAGGTGTGTTTTGGGAATAAGATGCCCCTTGCCAAGAGCTCTCACTGCAACCTGCATGTGATGCAATAATGAGGCTAGCTCACCGCCTGCGGTCCTTAGTCACCCTTCACAGAGTATTCTTTTCACTTTATTCATGGAAATTGGACTCGTAGGGGTTAAGTCGTTTATCCATCTTTGCCTATTCAGAAAGGTCAGAGTCATGATTCAAATCCAAGTCACTCTGGCCAAATAGAGCTTCGGCACATTCCTTAGAGCCTCGCTACCTCTTCAGTAACCCTGACCTAAAATAACCAAGTTCACTGTTTCAGAAGCTCCCAAACGCTTGCTCCACGTGAAGTGAGGAGTTACACAGCTTCGTGAGTCTAGAGTCCCCAAGGAGGGCCTCAGAGAGCAGAGAGGCAAACCAACAGCCATGATCTGAGGACTGGCGCCCAGGCGAAAGCAGCGGAAGCGGGCGTAGCCCCTGTTCCTTTCCCGCAAACCCAGGTCTCTGGCTGCCCCTCCTGATCCAAACTGCGTAAGTGGCTTTTTATGGCGGTGACGCCCCCATCACACACGCTGCGGCCGTGCCGAGGCAGGGGGGACACAGTCTTACCAGCCTGTCATATTAAAGTCCCTGTAGAGCATCTTCTTTCCAAGTTCCTTTCTCTGTACTCTCCTTGGAAACTCCAAATGTGTGAACTCATTTCCCAGCAAGTGAGGCTGCATGAATGCCTAAGAGCAAAAAGAAAAGAAAAGGGGGGAAAAAAAAACACATACACATATTTAGAGGGAAAAAAACACAACCCAAGGATGTTTTGCAAATTGAGACAGGCCACTTTCAAAAACTAAAAAATGGTTCTCATATTTAAGGACGCTAAATAGATTTAAGAATCTAAACACAAAGAGAATATCAACAAGTAAAAACATCATGAATGCAATTTGTAAAGGGATGTGACTTTTTCATTTGAGATAATAAATGAATTGGAATCAGAGACATGCCTCTCTCAAGTAAGGAAAAGGTTCACTTTTTGATTCAAATCTGAGATGGTTTTGCTCTGCTGAACGGCATGTTGAGGAGGCAGGAACACTCCCCCTGCCCTGACTCTCTCCCCCCGGCTTTCTCTGCGCTCCCCCTGCTAGTACTCCTAGTCATCGCAGCCTTGCCTCCTCCGAAGGCTGCTTGTGAGTCTCAATGTCAACACAATGGCCTGAGAAAGCGAGCTGGGGCTGGCTACATCAGACAGGAACTTTCTGTTGGACTCCCTCCATTTTGCTCTGCAGTAATTTGATCATGTAATTGGAAGACTATTCCAGAGCAGATGGCTTCTTCCCCTCCCCCAAATCTCTGTTCACACTGCAAAAGTCTTGAGCAAACAGCCACTTAGGGAATTGCTTTGAAACAACAAACAGTCTCATTGTCACATTCAAAATTCATATCCAGCTCTCCAAGAGAGGGACTGCTCAAGTATCAACTTCCCTGCTCAGAGGCCACACACCGTAAGCAGACCTGCAGCGGAGCTTCCCTGTACAAGACGTACACCTGCTTATTAGTGGTGTGGTGGAATGGGTTTCTCTCTCTCTCTCTCTCTGGCAGGGAAAAGAGCGGGCAGAGAAAGCACGGCCTGGCACTGCAGGGAAGCGAGGGATCCCTGCCACAGGACAGATGGCCACGTCCTCAGTCTACTGCAAACAAGCACCTCCCACAGCCTCCTTCCCAGGACCCGACACCGGCAGATCCCCCACTGACTCTCATGGTGGTTCAGAGGTGTAGCTGGATGCTGGCTATCAGATGCTAAGCGCATCAGGAGTCAAAGGAAGCAGCTGAATTGTCCCCAGGCTGGACAGACTGGGATGGCTAATGGAACTCTGAGCTAGTGATGCTCAGCAGGCTTGGGGACAGGACTGAGGGAGAGAAGGGGAGCTGTCCTGTCTGCTGTCACTCAAGCAGGTTTCAGTTCAGGGTTGGGGGGAGGGTTCTGGATCATCTTCGAGGGGCTCTGAAACCTCTGCTGGGGATGAGGCTTCAGCTGCCTGAGGGTTCAAGGACACTTAAACACTGGGTTTTACAGATGGTTCCCCGGGAATGAGGAAGGAAGGAACTAATACTTATAGAGCAGGTCAGTGGGGTGGGCTTTGGGTGAGATGGACTTGGGTTTGAATCCAAGCTCTGCATTTATAAGCTGCGTGATTTTAGTGGGTGATTTCATTTCTTGGGACCCAGTTTCTTTACCTGTACAATGAGATTACCTGCAGATTTATCTCACACTGTTTTGATAATGAAATGAAACAACATCTATAATGCACTTATCATGATTGTCTCTGCTCATAAAAAGAGAAGAATTTATCCATCCACTGATTACTGAGTCCTCCTGGATCCTGAGTACTGCAGTCAGTGTTCCGTGAGCTCTCGTTTCACACCCCGCAACAACCTCATGGGCTGGACTGGCTACCTAATTTGAGGGGCCCAGTGTAAAAAGGAGAATGTGAAGCCTGTCTTCAAAATGAAAAATTTCAAGATGGTGACAAGCAGAGCGTTAAACCAGGTGCAGGGCCCTGGGCAAAGGCATGAACCACACATCCATGAAGCCAGCTGTGCCTACAGAGCAGACATGATTTTCTTCCTCTCTTTTATTCTGGTCCACCCACAAAAACTAAGGACCAGAGGCATCAATAGTCAACAAACAGCAGCACCTTTACGTACCCTTTATCACCTCGCAGAACTGTGGGGCTCTACGAGCATGGCGTTTCTGTCTCCCCCCACCTTCCAAGCTGGAGTTAACACTGATTCAGGGGTCACCACACACCAGGTACTTGATACACCTCAACAACCCTACTAAAGCACATGTCATCGACTCAATTTCCAAATGAGGGGACTAAGATCCAGAGAGCTTAGGACCCCTCGCCCAAGGTCACCAGCCAGGACTGGGCGGTTCTACAGCCCACCCGTAACGCCCATCCTAACCCTCAGGCTGGCCCTTACCCTGCACACACATTTACGACAGACAGTAAGTGGGCAACGACGGGACAACAATGGGTCCTGTTGCTCCTGGGCCATGAGAAGTCTGAACCACAGACAAGTTCCCACAAGGATCCAGTCAACAAAAAAATTACGGATCTGCACACAGCTTGGCCACAAGGATGCTCCTGAAGTAGCAAGGAGAAATCGTTTAATGATACGAGGGGTTAAACTAGCATAAATCCATCCAAAAGAATCTACGCTGTCGCTAACAAAGGTGCTGGAGAGAATATGTAATCACATGAAAGTGCTGATGTATTTCTAAAAAGCAGGTTATCACACTGTGCCATCTGTGCATGTGCATGTGTACGAGCTTATGTGAGCAGGGTCATATATACACAGATCTGTATGTGACACACACGTATACAAACATGAGGGCGCATGTATAAATACAGACACACGATACACGTATATATTGCACAACAAACGGGTTTGGATCCAAGAGCCATCCCTAAGTACATCTTGCAGCCCTGTGCCCTCTGCGCTGGTATACGTTTGCCTGGGCAGTTGTACCAGAAGTCCGCAGGGTAGCGGGAACTCCCCAGCAACTTGCTATTTGCAGGGGCCACCTCGCCTCTTCCTCTGAGCATAAGCAGGTTCAAAGGGACCCGGAACCCTGTGTCACCTGTGACATCCATCGCCCCTTCACATGCAGAGCCCCTCAAGGTTCCCACAAACCACCTGCTTCTCCTGTCCCAACAACAGGCTTCTGTATTTCATCGGTTCTACGACGCCCTTTATAATTGTGCCATTATTTTGGTACTCGAAGAAGGGAAAAAGTTGCCAATTAAACTAGGCAGAATGCTTTCTTGCCTTTTTCAATTTTTTATTATTTTTGAAAGAACTCCTTGTAGACTTAAAATTCTGTTACTACCGTGCATATTTAGGAAGGGATATGTAAGTGAGGTGCTGGCTATGGTTGTTCCAAAATGTTCTGGCATTTAGACTCCTGCGGCGCCCATCACATTCTGACTCCGAATCATTCCGCGTTGGTGACTTTCCCCCCTGAGCGGCCTGTGTTTCAGGGGCGCGTGGGTGACGCAGCATTTCCTGCACGAGCCACAAAAGCCCCAAGCCTCGGAGGCAGGGGTGTGACGTTCTGAAGCCAAACTGCAGTCATCCCGAGCCCACTTACTCGTGACTCCACTTCGGGAACGTGGCTGAGCAAGTCTGGTCCCCCTCCCCCGGCCCCGCCGTGTGACTGTTGGATCCAAAGAGGCTGAAAGGGCGCCTCGCTTTTTGTCTGCAGGGGTTTCCTCCAAGCGCTGGACGCCCAGCCTGAAGTCGGGAGCTGCTCTTTTCATGTTTGCTCACGCCCGGGGGGTAACAGCCGTGTCCTGCCTGCCACCTGGCTGACAGCCCCAGCCAACTGTAGAATGTCCCCACTTTAGATATGTCAAAACGTAAAAGGAAAAAAGTGCCTGAGCTCTGAGGAAGTACTGTGATGTTCATCCCCCACTGATCTGGATGTTACACCCTTGGATTTCTCCCTCTTTCGGGTTATTTTTCTTCCTCTGGCTAATTGCCACAGCACATTTCACATGTCACATGACATTTTCTGCTACAGTCATGCCTACCATAGAATCTATATGTATTCCCTGTGTACCTCGGACATACCCCTCAGGACGTATTTTTACTACGCTTGAAAATCACCATCTCCATCCTCATCTTTGGCTTCCTTTCTTTTTAGATTTTTTTTTGGGGGGGTGTATTTTAGCTTTTTCTTTCTGCTATTTGGATATATGTATGTTAGAAACATCTGTCTGGTGACACAAGTAATACTAGCTACACTTGAGTGTGTTCATTAATGATTTTTAAGACCTTAGCTACACTCTAATGCCCTGCCTAGCACCAAACACAGTAAAGGCTTTAAGTAAGTATTTGTTGGAAGAATGAGTATAGAAATTTTGACCTGCTTTCCACAATTACATTTTAGTTTTTATTTAAACTTTACAAAATAATACAACATAGCTTTCAATCTTTAGAAAAAATTAAAACTAAAGCCCATGGCACATAAAAACAATCTTGGACACACGTTAACATATTTTGGATTTAGTTAACCTTTCATAATTCGATAGACACCTTCCTGTAAAACCACATTTGTGTGGGTGCAGTCACACCATTAAAAAACCCATGATAACTTTGCAGTCCTGACAATGTCTACAGAATGTTATGTCTCTTCTTTGCCTAATAAGCATGCTGACTGGAAACCGAGAAATGTATTTTATTCTAAGATCCAATGTAAAGTGTGCTGACCTGCCCCATGTAAAGAAAAATTGGACCTCTTTTTGTACCTCCATTTTTAACCTAAATTTTGAGACTTTCTGCCAAGGAATACAGAGTGCTCATAACTAAGGGGAGGGAAGGGTCAGGTGCGAACCACAAAGGGCACCTGGGGGGGAAGCGTGGTCACCACTGCCCCGGCAAAACCAAAGGCAGGTCACCAAGAGTCTTTTAAGGACTCTGGAGGGTGCAGGTTTGCTAACATGAGGGTAAGATGTATCCTTGCCACTTGGTGTCTGGGCAGCTGATGAGAACACACTTCCAGATATGGTTACATTCAGCCAGGGACGAGAAGAGGCATCCTCTCTAGGGAAAGGACGCGGGAATACTCTGCCATGCCGAGAAGTGGCGGGACACCAGGGACAGCGAAGAGGAGGAGCAGACGTCTTCTAGCTGCTCTCCTCTCTAGCCCTGAGCAGAAGCTAGCTTTAAG